TGATGCATTTGCATCACAATTCAAATTAAACTAAAAAGCATTTAATATTTCCAGTATATAACAAAAGTTATTACAAGAGTAAACTACAAGATATCAAGAAGTTGCTACAACATCGACTAGAAAAATTATACAATTAAATATTTTTTGAAAATACAGACTGGAAAGATACCACTGCACTAAACACTTAGCCTGAGTAAAGATTGTTTGTTTACATATTGGGTATTGTTTATACTTGTCTACCATAGGTGGATTTAGGTCTCTAAGTCAAATAATTACAGTACTCATTAAAAGTTTGAAAGCCTGAAAATATGACCCTACTTGAACCAAAGATTTTTCAGTAATTAAAAGGTTTTTAACTTTTGACACTTGTACTGTATTTCACTTTAGTGTCAGGTTATTTTTTGTTGAGGGAAATTAAATGGTAATATTTTAACTAATATCTACAAACACTTCAATGCTAGAAAGGCTTTATTTTCTAAATTCTAAGATTTGCATAACCAACATATAATAAAGGCATGATAAATAATACAGACCAAATTTATTTTAGGGGGGCTTGTTTTCCATATTCTTTACAGTCAAATCCCCTCAAGGAAGGTTCCTTGATGTTGGTGAGGGGCTCTTGATTTAGGGAATTGGATCTGTGCTCCAGTTCCCCGAATTAAGCCTGAATGCCTTCCACATCCCCCTCCCCCAGGCGCTGTATAATCCTCCGGGTTTAGCGCTTCCCCCTTGATTATAATAATAATAATTTACAGTCAAATGCAAAAACCACACACAAAATGAAACTTACTTGAATGCTTGATGTAACTCAATGGTCAAAAACTATAATAGCTAATCAAATTAACTTTACAGTAACACCTCAAGTTAATGGACCATGACTTAATGGATTTCAAATTTAACAGACAAGATCTGTGGCCAGACAAATTCAGAGCTGTCCACAAAAATGAAAAATAATCCTGATTTAGCAAAGTATGTTAAATTCAGAATTATCCATTATTCGTATGGTCTGCTAGGTAAATTTATTTTGGATAAAATGAAATTTGTTGCTTATATCAGAATTATCTACTATTTTTTACTGATAATTCCAAATTTAACAGAAAAAGTTTGTTGAAGCCATAATTATCCATTGTTGTTGAAGTCTGCTAGGTAAATTTATTTTCACATTTAGGGACTTAGTTCGATAAAATTAAAAAAAATTCCATTACTGTTATGATGGAAAAATATTCTCATAATTTAAATTTAAAGGGCAACTGACTTTAATGGACACCCCTTCCTCCATCTATTAGTACATTAAATTGAGGGTTCACTATGAACTGAACTGAACTATTTTAAAATGAAAAAAATAGTTCAATTTCTTTTACTAAAAAGCCACCTGGTCTTTTATAAGTTTGTAGGATAAGCAAAATAAATAAATGGTTATCAAAATCTTTTAGACATTTGCTATAAAAACAAAAATTAATGCTTTGGAAGGGTATAATTTCTGATCTTTTAGGTACAAAAAAGAAATTTTAATTTAAATTATAGTAACATGGTTTCTATGTCATAACTGTACTTTGTCATTTTAGAATGATCTTTTTCTAGATTCTTTCTAACTGCATGTGTATTTTTGCATTATTCAATCTAAGGAATCAAAATTTTTCATTGCAGTTTAAAACTAGCGGAATTAGACGGGGTTTCATTAAAAAAACTTTGCACTAAAATACTGTTACAAAGAAAGGGGATAGTACAATAAGGATCAGCATCAGTAAAACAGAATCTTGTGGGTGGATTTCTTGCACAGTTTTGTTGAATATCACCTTGTGATTCTTAAAACTCTATAGATGTCCTTTTTGTAAAATTTTATTAATTTTAGTAGAACAGAATTTTAATCACTTCTAGTATGTATAAGTAAAAAGCGTTTATTAGCACATGATAGATCAGAAAAGAAAAATCTACTATTTTCTTTACCTTATATGGGACACTTTTACAATTCCCTTTTTTTCCAGTTACTTTTTTTTTTTTTGGTATAAAAATCATTAAAATTCCTTGATGTCATGGGCAAATGCCTGTATTCTCTTGAATAAAACACTTTGAAATAACATGTCACTACAGTAATACTCATTTAAAACAAAATGAACATTTTTATTTAAACTTTGCAAGGGTAAAAAATGATGTGGAAGTGATATGACATCAACACAAGCCAAAATTTTCAAAAAGGGCCCAGAATACTACCCCTGGGATATATGTTTTAAGCCCCCAGGCACCCCTTGATTGTTTTCCTTTACATGTTTAAATAATTTCTATGCCAGTTCATCTAGTTTACTAGGAAATTTATGTACGTATTCCTTATATACAGTATGTAGTTTTTTCATTCAGTTCGAACTGCAGATATGACTATTTACTAACAAAATTGAAAAGCGCTTCATCAAAGTTCAAACTGAAGATTTTTCAAAATCCTACATAAGATTTTTAGTTTTTTTTTATGATAGTTTATGCCTATTTTCAAGGAAACTTAATTATATTATTGACAGCTATATCATAACATATAAAAGGAGACTGGCTGTGTGTGTGTACTTGCCTTTTATAATTGCAGGGGTTGATTCTTCGATCCTGGCCTGCCACTCTCCCTTGTAGACTCGTGGGCCCTGTCATACCTGCTTTTAAAACTATGTATGAAACCTGTCTCCACTCACCAACCACTCTGAGACTGAAGAAATACTTCCTATCATCTCTGACTCATCTGTATCTTTATCTTTCAACTGTATCCCTGAATACCTATTACCCACCTCTCAACCCAATCAATTTCTGAGTATTTTTTTAGTATCATGTCTTCCTTGTCCTCCGATTTGGTTCTATTAGTCTTTCATTTTAGCTCATACCCCTTAGCTCTGAAACTAGTCTTGTGGCATCCTCTTATACTTTCTCATTTCTTTAGATACTTTTTCAGGTGTGAGTTGCACGACAGTGTTGCATGCTCCAAGATGGGCCTCACATATGTTGTATAGAATGCCCTGAATGACCAGGAAGCCCTGAAGGTTACTCTTTGATTTGCCAGACAAGCATTGGTTTTGCAGAGGTTATTTGGTGATGTGAGCCTCTAGCAATACGCTAGGTACTAGTTTATCTCTGCTTTTCTATCTGAGGTCTGCAGCCTCTTCCCCAGAGTCTTTTACTCCATGTCTAGTCTTCTGTCCTCTTCTCCAATCTTCATAACCTTGCATTTGCTGGGGTTGAATTCAGGCAGTCACATATCTGACCAATCCTTGCAGTGTATCCGACAATTTATATCTTTCCATGTCCTCATTTGCTTTTATTTTTCATTAGTTTTATATCAGCAAACAGGAATACATCTCGCTCATTTGGTATTCCATTCACATAAGCCAGAAACATACTGATCCTAATACTAATCCTTCAAAATTTTCCCTTGTAACTCTTCCTCATTCTGATATTTCCTAGATTCACTTTTTTGCTTCTTTTTCTTAAGGTACTCTGATCCACAGGAATACAATGTTATTCCTGCCTGCCTGTGCATATGCATTGTTTTTGTGCATGTGTGTGTGTGTTTTTAAGACACGAGTGCAATGATAGCATCAAAACTATTTGGATTCTCTTGGTTTAAAGTTCAAAGCATTTCAAATTTGCCAGAACCTTATTTAGAGAATTTAAGATTGGCTGATTTGTTGTTTTAAAGCTCACTGAATGCAGGAGGATCATTAAGGCTGTGTTCTGCCTTGACACCACCAGTCAAGAATATTTCAACCCTAAAATAGGGATTAAAATACCTGTGTATATAAAAACCTTGTCAGAACTTCTAGGCATGCTTTGCTGAATAGAGAAGTCTATGCTGTATTAGTGTTCGACCATGTAATGTGAGAAAAAGGCAGTGCATTCAGCTTTTATGCTTTCAATATATATTTTGCCGTTTTTTTTATTTAGAAAAGAATTTGTATTTAAAGTGGCATTAGCTAAATAATGACTGAATCCAACTTTGATTTACCTAGGGTCCCTAAGTTTAAAAGATGACCATAAATGATATAGACATGATTAAATCTTTGCTTTCAATAATTTTAGATCTTTGAAGCAAGATTTTTTTCAAATTGATTTTGGCAGACACCATCATTAAAGTTTCATAATTAGTCATCAGCTTGCTGACTCAACCTTTGTGACATCAATTTTGTTTCTTTGCAATGCAAAATTAAACTAGCTGAAGGTGTTTAAATTTTTAAATAATTTCAATTAAAAGCCAATCTTAACAATGCAGCTTATCATATGCTTCATAAATTAATTTAAAAAGCTAGCCTAAACACTGTAGCCTACTCCCTCCTAAGTGTGAAAACTTCCAGCACTACTACTGCAATATAGCCTGAGTAATCTGAACATATCATTTACAGTCAATATTAATCTAAAGAGAAGACATTTGAAATTGTTATAAACAATCGGTGACACGCGTCTGCCCCTTGATGGAGAGGAATACCTGCCAGAAAGGGCCAAGCAATGAACAGCATTGAATCATGCTACACACTAATTTCAACCAACCAACACACTGTATACAAATACATGCTGCAATTTCCATACATACTAACCAACTTACAGGAATTTAGTTGTACCCCCAGATAAACAATGGGCATAATATACATCAACTTTTGGTTAAAAATAATCCCTGATGGAATATAGAGAAACAACTGAATTGAGGTAATTTATGTTTTCCCTAATCTGGTAATTAATTCCACTGGAAAAATTTTTTTTTTTTGCTGTGTTGAAATCACCTTTTGAAGAGCGAATAATTAAATTGTTAGCTTCAAATTATGTATAAGGGCACTGGGTCATAGAAAAAATCTTGACATACACAAATAATAACCTTATTCACCCTTCAGGATTTCATGATACAACTTTGGTAAAGTACTACAAACAAATACATTAAGAGTGCTTCATGGTACTGTAATTATTAGACAATCTGCCAGCTCATTAGTCTGACTTTAAATCATTCATTTATATGGAGGTGGACCAATTTTTGCAAAAAATTAAAGGAATATTTCTTTAACCCCTAAACGGTCCAAATGTACATATACGTTCACTCGCGTAGCGCCCCAAATTTTTTGAGAAAAAAAAAAAAATTTAATAGGAAAAAAGAGCATATGGTACCCAGGTGTCCCCAATTATTTTAATATGCTGCACAGCGAGTGCGCACACCCAGTCTCTCATGTCTAGGTGACTCAGGCTTATCGTGGCAGTGTTGAATGAATGACAAAGAAAACATATTTATACGTTTGGTGCGCTACGCACATGAACGTATATATATGTTTGGACCATTTAAGGGTTAAGCTCACATACTAAATAAAAAGTTAAATTGGGTTTGTAGTTGAACACTGTGTTAACCTTACTTATATGCAAGAAGCTATTTCTATTGAAATCGAATTGCAACACTCAGCAAGCATTAAAATTGACACAATTTTATCTTCAATTCTAGTCATTCAAAATTTTTAATGAAAATACTGAGAGAAAAGTTACAGCATCTTCTGTGGATAATGTAAATATAACTTAACAGTATGAATAATTCATTAAGCTCGAAATAAAATTTTATTTTATGTTGTAATCTCATCTTACATGCAGCATCAGGATACTGAAGGCATTTTAAGAGAAAATAATACGTTCATCTATTAATCCCCCCCCCCAGGCTCTGTATATTCCTCCGGGTTTAGCGCTTCCCCCTTGATTATAATAATAATAATAATAATCTATTAATTAATATATTAGGCTAAAAGATGATATACTGTAGAGGTAACTTCACTTCAGCACTTCCATTAAGTCACCAATGAAACTTCATTTACCTTCTTTTTATGCCTCTGATGAATGTATTGATTTTTAGATATTATCTAAATCAGTCTAAGAGGAGAATTTGAGCTAGCAAATGCATTTATTTAAATTCAAAGCTAAAACTTTAATATATATACAGTACAAAGCATTCAGCAAAGCATGTCTAATAAATATTTTTCAGTTACTTTCCTCAAAAAGTTTAACAATCAGACACACACACACTTTACTTGTACATTAAATAGTTTTTAAATTCATATTCAAATTCTGAAATGCATATATAACTAACATCAGAATAATAAATACATTACAAAGTAATTTCGTTTATGCAATCTATGAACACAGCATTATTTATACAATCAATATCACCTTATTTTGGAGTTAATAAATTCTATAATCTCTAAGAGAACGATCCTATTTTACTCTGTTTTACTCTGGCTGTTTTAAGTGGCTTTACCTTAGAGTTACCTTGGCAGAGACAGACACCGCATGTAAGCTTCTTGTGTGAGGTGGTAATCCCTGTATGGTGGGTTTAAAAACTAGATTCCAGCTGCTTCAGATTCTCTATCAGAAGAGATTCTGCCTTTTCAAGATTTAAAAGCTTCCATTTCTTTACATGCTCCTTTGAAAGTTTGCTCAGTATTCTGAAAGAAAAATAATTTCATTATAGACAGAACATGTTATCTCTATCAAGAAAAAGAGGAGTGTGTCTTTCCTCATTATGGTAACAAATATTAAAGAAAAAATAATTATATAAAATACTGAAGAAAAACTATAATATGTGATGGAAATTTTTAAAACTATTATAAAAGTAGCATATCTATTCAAAAACCAAGTTAAAAATAAAAAATTAATTACAGGTTCATAACCCTTATCCAAAAAATCTGAAATTGGAAAAGTTCCGAAAACCGAAGTTTTTTTGTGGAGTGTCAGTCATTTCAGTGCTAGGTCACACCACCACGTGGCAGCGTTGAGAATCATTCTGAACTTTGAAAAATTTTGAAATTCGAAACAATTTCTGGCACCAAGGGTTTTGGAATAAAGGGATTTTGGCCAGTAATTAAAAACCCATGAATACCCATCACCAAAGACAATAAGGCACAGAGTAACCAAAACAAGGAATAAACCACATCCTGCAAGAAGAGTTAGTACACTTGTCACATAGTCTTCTATAGTGCAATGTTCCTGTTCTAGACCAAAAAGGTAGATGGAAAAAAGGTAGGAAATCCAGGGTATCTATCAATGTTCAAACAAAGTATCAAGACATCAAAATAAGGGCTGTAGAAATCTATACTGGAACGTAGTTTCCATCAAATCTAGCTAAGGCCCTTTTGAGCTTGGAACAATTGTACAAACTTTAAGTTGCTTTTCAAGTAATGGTATGTACATTTATGTACTTATACTCTGTCACACTTCTAATTAATTCACTTTTTCATTAATAAAAAAATGGGCGTATACCAAAGAAGAAATTATAATGTTACACAATACTGCAAAACATTTATATATCATAGCTGCTAGGCACATCAATAAACTTCATAAAAACTACTGGCCATGTTTTATAGTAAAAAGTTGATAGGGGATGATCAACACAAAAACATGGTATGACATAAGTCACCTAGGTAGAAGACATGGAAAAATTACAAGAGGACATAAACAAAGGCTTCCAGTGGGCAGTAGAGAAAAAAGTTTAATGGGAAAATTCCAACTGTTTGATAGGGAAAAAATTTTATTATAATAAAAAAGAACGCTAAGCCAAAAGGGGACTATCAGCGCTGCGGGCGGGAAGGGAAGCGGGGGGCATCAGGGGGCAAAAAAGGGAGATGGATGAGCAACGGGTTACGGATAACACGGGGGGCAGTGGATGGTGAAAGGGTAAAGGGCAGCAAGAGACTGAACCAAAAAGGGGCGGGGGGGTGCGAAAAGTATCATCAGATTTGGGAGTAAATCAGTCTTTTGAAAAGAAGTCAATGAGAAGTCAGGATTAAAGGAGGGTCCATCACAAAAAGGGGAAGGTAAAGAGAGAGAAGAGAAAAAGACCGTTGGGGTAAATTCTGCGTGCTCGTTGATAGAGAGGGCGTCAACAGAATGGGGGCTAATCTATGGAATTTTACACTGCCAAGAGAGGAACAGGGGGGGCCTCTCCATGAATACCCTGATAAACAGTGTGGCCATGGGAAGGGGGAGAGGGGTTCCCCAACCCGGACTGATAAAAGACGGCCAGTAACCTATCCCGGGTTTTTAATGAATGAAGTTTTTTTACCGAGCAGAGTCCCCAACTTTTTGGAAAAGGGTGCGAAGGGGGGTGTTTATTGCAGCAAAATAGTCCAAAAAAGGAACCCCTCGATAGGAAATTGGGTAGGTCATAACGCTGCCCGCGCAGCAGTGTCTCCCTGTTCATTCCCCGTACGCGACATGACCGGGGGACCCAACAAAAAACATATCTTTATGTTTGTAGAAAAAAGCGTACCCAAAGTTGGATGGAGAACTGGGATGAGATGTATAAAAATTTTGATAGCCTGTAGGCACTGGGGGATCTGGAACACAAATGAGAACGGCATAATCTACGAATAAGGCTGCAAGAAGGGCATACAGCGCAGTAAAATGAGCTGAAGATAGAAAATGCCCTCGTAGACGCTGTCCGGAAACAGCTGCGAACCCGACGCCGTCTGAAACTTAGACCCATCTGTGTAAAGCGGTGGGGCATGAAAGGGGAGGGGAAGTGATCAAGAAAAAGAGAGGGGGAAGCCCCCCGTAGGCGTTGAGTTTTCGAGAAAGGGGGAAAAGTGAGAAAAAACAGCCCGAACAGCGGAATTTCCCAGGGGGGTGGGGAAAAAATTGAGATGCTACATAAAAATATAAAGGTGGTATAAAGGGAAAGACAAAGTGAAGTAGGCAAGAGAAAAGGGACGGGAAAAAGGGGGGCGGCGAAGAAAAAAGTTTCTAATATATCGGGGGACCATTTAAAAATGGAAGGTTGTGAATCGGAGAGCGTACATAGTAACGAAGGCAAGGGGCATCACGGGATCAAAAAAGGTGGAACATTTGCTTCTGTATAGAGGCTCTAACGGGGGAAGACAAAAAGCACCAAGGACAAAGTAACCCTTTGGGAGGTAGAGTTAAGGCTAGAGAGAGTAGCAGGAGGGGCCGCGGAAAAAATCGGTCACATAATCGAGTTTGAAAAAAACGAGGGCTGAATGTAGGCGAACAAGTTCGACATCCCCCCGGGAAAGATACAAGGGTTTTAAGAAGGTTTCCCGGCTTGACAATTGCCTTTAGAGAGGTAAGTGAGGTTTCCCCGGGGTTAACCGACGGTAAAAGAAAAGGGCCCTGAAACGACTGTATCACGTTCGGGGATCGGAGCCATAGAGAAAAAAAGGGATATCGGAGATAACAGAGCGTCTGTGAAAGTAATTTGGGATTTTGGTACTTGAAAATTAAAACCCATGTGTGGGGGCCCAAGTAAAAAACAGGGTCGAGCATGCGGGGAAAAAACTGCAAAAAATGAAGTCGGGCCCCTGCAAAGCAATAGCGAAGTCATCAACATAGAGTGATGACCAAAAATTTTGGGGTGGAAGAACAGGGCCAAAATCTTTTAAAAGGGAGAAAAAGTGTTGTGTTTTAGAACACATCCCGAGGGCCCCCTTAGCTTGGGAAAGTCCGGGGAAAAAAAACATTTTTTACTCGAACCGGAAATGTCTGTCAGTTAAAAAGTTCTTAAGGAAGGAAGGTAGATTCCCTGGGAGGCCAAGGAAGGGGCCGGGGCCCAAAATATTATCCTCCAAGTTGTGTCATAGCCTTTCCAAGGTAAAAAAAATAGGCAATAATGAGTAAAATTTTCGCAAAGGCATTACGAACATACGTACCCAACGTAGAAAGGGGTCAGGTAAACGCCCTTACGAAAAGCCATATTGACTAGGGAGAGACTTTGTGAGTCTCTAAATACCACATTAAACGCGATTTACGAGGCGTTCCATCACTTTGAAACTGCACTTGTAAGAGGATGGGGCATAGGGGGAGCATCATGTCCTGTGTACCCGGTTTCGGAAAGGGAAAACAAGGGCAGTTTCCACGGGGGGGAAGAACTCCTTGTCCCAAATAAGATTGAAAGGTGAAGAGGATACAAGGGCTGCCCGATGAAAAATTTTTTGAAATACGAATATAATGTCACAGGCCCAGCTGCCTTGAGGGCAAGCGAAGCGTTGCCTCCAGTTCTTGAGGTAAAAGGCACTTTTTCTGTTCTTCTCCGAAGAAAAAAGCCCAAGGGAACTAACTCTCTGGCAACTTTGGGGAAAAAACGAGGGGCTTTGAGGGACCCTGGGGAAATACGGCCCAGATGTGTCCAAGTTCAAGGGAACGTCGAGAGGGTTTGCTATATCAACACCAGTCCCCGTGAACAGGACCCGGGTCAGGAGAGTTTTTACCCTCAATTTCCTCATTTTTTTTCCAGACTGCACCATGAGAAGCGAGGTGATGGTGGAAACTGTTCCCAACAAGTCGTTTAGCTTCAGGAGACACGGCGGCTTCGCAGTTTCGTTTAAAAATAAACAATTCTCAGCGGTTCTATTGTCCCGGTACCTCCCCCAGCAGCACGTTTCAAACGTACTGCAGAGCACAAGCAGGACCCCCCAAAGGACCACTTCTGAAATGCCGCCTAGGTTTGGGGATAGAATGAAAGCTGCGTTATAAACTGATGCGAGAAGAGGGTGGGGAGCCTAAATGGGGGATGAAAAAGGAACCTCCTAAAAGCATGAGGTGTGAGTAAAGATCCCAATTTGCCCGATAAAAATTCCCAGCGGGGGCTAGGGGAAAGGTTAAATAGGAAGGGGAGAAGTAAGAAGATCGGAAAATGATCGCTGTCATGTAATTCTGGTAAAAGACCGGGTGAGTCAAGTGCTGGAGGAAGGCAACTGAAGATCGAGCAAGAAAGTATGGTACGAGGTAAAAATGGGGGGGATCCCCGTATTAAAACATGGGGGGTGAGAGGCAAGAAAAGCCCCCAAATGAATGCCAGTGAGTCACAAAGAACCCCCCCAGAGGAAAAAGGGGGCATTAAAATCACCAAGTAACGAATGGTGGTGGGAAGAGAAAAAAGAAAACAAAGTCTGGGATAGAAAATGCTCGAGAAGGAAGAGATATAAAGAAATATTTTAAACCCCAAATTTAAGGGAAGGGCTGCAGTGTAATGCAGCAGGTAGGCAAATAGTTGACAGTACGAAAAATTTATTGCGAGAAAAAGGGGCACTTTCATTAAAGGGCCCATTGAGAAAAGGATTTGAAGAATACAATAAATTTTAGCCTGAATGGGGGGAAAAAAAGCTGAGGTAATTTTGGTTTTTTGTAAGCAAGCACCAACAGGGAAAACCTGGAAAAACAAAACTGAAGCTCACCCGTTACCCCTGAGGCCGCGGAAATTTCCCCTGTAAATAGGCCATGATTGGGATGAAGAAAATACAGGAATCTGTAGGTAAAGGCCTACGGACTAGAGGGGGTTTGAAAAGTCAACGGTGGGGGGGCATTGGAAGATGTTCAAGTACGAAGGAACGGAGCGTTGCGAAGAAAGGGTTTGAAAAATGGAGGAGAGGAAGAGAAAGGAAAAGGAAGTGAATCGGTCCATTGAAGGTTTATCTCTGCAAAATATTCTGAAATGGGTTCAAGTGTTTTTTTAATTCAAAGTGTTGGGGTACCCTATTGGAGATAGGAGGAGGAGGGTGAGTAAAAAAATTGGGACAGTAATGGATGTACCCAAAAAAGGGGGGGGGGAAAAATGTAAGGGTGGAGATGAAGTGTGGGGGGGGGGCAGAAGAGGGGAAACCTGGGGGGTAACGAAAAAGGGGGGAAATTGGGGGGGGCGGGGGGTTTGGAAAACATAGTACGAGGGGGGGGTGAACTCCCCCCTTTTAATAGAGCCAGGAGAGGGGGAAAACAGGGACAGAACTGAAAGGGAAAAGGGGGAGGTGGAAAAGGGAAGGAAGGGGCAAAGAAGATTTGAGCAATGGGATTTTTTGGACTTCGAGTAGAGGGGGCGATTTGGGAATGTCGTACGAGGTCTGCGTACTGGGGTTTTAGGGGGCGCAAGAGTGAAACAGAAAGAGTTGTAGTCGGGGTCAGAGCCAAGGCAGCAAAAGGGGAAAATCCGTAGTGGATGGGGGGTAACAAAAAGAGGGGCGCAGAAGATGGGCCCCAGAAGTGGGGGACGTTTTGGGAAACCGGAATAAGAAACCGGGTTTGTCTCCCCTTTGGGGGGGAGATGAGTAACTGCCTAGCATAAGGAGACCTTCTGCCTCTTTGAGGCAACGGATTTCACTTTATTTAAGTAGACCTGGCAACGGCGGGGTACGAAGGGGAGCTTTATTTCAATTAAGGCAAGATGGGGGTTGACTGCAAGAGTATTAGAATGGTCGTCGGCACCAAGACGGGGATTCGGCCAAATCTGCAATATTTCGTGGGTGACCAAAACGCCCGCAAATTTTTACATGTTGCGGGTAGGGACACCTTTCGAAAATTTTAACCGTGTCCCCGACTATACAGAGGACGGGAGTTCTCGGGGTTCAAAAATTAAACAGTCCATTTCAAAGGGGAACGTCTCCGCCCCCGGGGGAAGGACATAAGTGTCTACTTTGGGATTTGGGGGATCCCGGGGTTCGCGTTTAAAAATGCATTGCCCCCAAAGACTGGAAATTTTTTGGACTATGGATGGGCAGAAGACAGAACACTACAAGAAATTTAAAGAAAAATTTTTTTCAATAGGATAGGAAGTATTGATTTCGAAAGGAAGGGGAAATCATGACTTGGGTAGCATTCTGGACAGGACGTGCGCGTCCGCTCTTGGGAAAAGGGGAAAAGAAAAACTCTGCCAAAAGACGCAGGGCGCTTTGGGAAAAACTAGGTCAAAAAGGTAGGCAAAGAAGAAGTTGGTCTTAAAGTAAAAAATTATCCATTGGGTGGTCCGAAACTGGCGGGAGAGGGGTGCTTTACGGCGTCGTTTCCGATAGAAAAGGGAAGGTAACGACGGAGCATCATCGGGGGATTGACTTGGCGTTTAGGAGTAGGACCGGAGTTGGTCCCGGGATAAATGGGTGGGCTTTTGAAAAATTTCCCTACCGTAGAGGGAGAAGCCGGGAAACAAGCAAAGGAGAGCGGAGTTCAGAAAACGAAGGACAGTCGAACCCTGTCCCGAAGCGGGGGGGAAACGCACCCCAAGAGGTACAGGGGCCTCAGGATTGTCCCAAGAGTGGTCTAAACACAAGGGGGGTCAGAATGGGGTGCGGTATCAGAAAGGGGCCCGGGGGGAGTGGTTTCATGGGTAGGGTGCCATGGTAGGTTTAAACCCTTTTCTTTTGGGTTTTTTAAAAAAAAAAAAAAGAAAAAAGGGAAAAAAAAATAAAAAAAAAATAAAAAAAGGGGGAGCGGGGAGGGGTAGTTCCAGGGGGGAATGAAAGGGCCGGAAATCTCCCTCCGGCCCAAGGGACTCGACACCGCTAGTAGCCAGATCAGCAAGGAACCCCTGCCATACCCTACCCATCATGCCAGAAACCCCCCCAACGGGGATAGCAAACCCACATCTGCCGAGCTTCTCGGGGGGTCCTTCCCCCCCCCCCCCCCCCCACCCCCCCCCCCCCCCCCCCCCCCCCCCCCCCCCCCCCCGGGGCCCCCCCCCCCCGGCTCCTTTCCACCCTCCCCCCCGCCAAAAACCCACCCCCCCCCCCTTCCCCCCCCCCCCACCTCCCCAGCCCCCTTGGGAGAAAACCGGGGTAAAAAGGGGGCAAAAAAATGGGGAAAAATGGAAAAAGGGGGGCGGGGGGGTGGGGTGGGGAAAAGGGGGGGAAAATTTGGGGTTTAGGAAGAAGGGGGCTTTTCCAGAAAAATACCCCCGCCAAAGCCCCCCAAAGGGAAAATATGGGAATAAAAAAAAGGGGGGCGGGGGCAAATCACTAGCCAAGCACAACACAACTCACCCTAAGTGAGCAATGTATATATCATTCAGAGTCTCGCTTTCTGGCAAGTGAAAAAAATGACTAATTTGTTTCAGTGAACTCTCTTGAAATAGTGAGTTATGTACCAAGAACTATGATGTCAATTCAATGTTATGGTTCGTCTAATTTACTGCCCTGGATTTGTTAGAATGCTTGATCAAAGAAAAACAAATACTGTATTAATGAAAATATGCAAGACATACCTGAAGGTTTTTCAGTGCAGATAATATATTGGTCTGGTCACCACATTTTTCACACTTGATGAATGGAATCAATAAGTTGTCAGTGTTGACTGGTAGAGGCCCTTGGCATTTATGACATTTGAATGACAAAAATGAATTTGTCATATCTTTGTACATTGGCCAGTCTTTCTGACAAGCCTGTGAAATAAAAAATTTTATACAGTATATTTTTTTTTTACTTTGAAAACTTATTATTACAGGATACAAAGATGAGTATGGAGGAGGTGAATGTACTCAGATATTTAGGAGTGGACATGTCAGCAGATGGGTCTATGAAGGATGAGGTGAATCATAGAACTGATGAGGGGAAAAGGGTGAGTGGTGCACTTAGGAGTCTGTGGAGACAAAGAACTTTGTCCATGGAAGCAAAGAGGGAATGTATGAGAGTATAGTTGTACCAACACTCTAGTATGGGTGTGAAGCATGGGTGATGAACGTTGCAACAAGGAGAAGGCGGAAGGCAGTAGAGATGTTATGTCTGAGGGCAATGTATGGTGTGAATATAATGCAGAGAATTCGTAGTATGGAAATTAGGAGAAGGTGTGGGATTACCAAAACTATTATCCAGAAGGCTGAGGAGGGGTTGTTGAGGTGGTTCGGACATGTAGAGAGAATGCAACAAAACAGAATGACTTCGAGAGTGTATAAATCTATAGTGAAGGTGGGGTAAGGGTCAGCCTAGGAAGGGTTGGAGGGAGGGGGTAAAGGGTTTTGTGTGCAAGGGGCTTGGACTTCCAGCAAGCGTGTGTAAGCGTATTTGATAGGAATGAATGGAGACAAATGGTTTTTAATACTTGACGTGCTGTTGGAGTGTGAGCAAAGTAACATTTATGTATATTTATGAAGGGATTGAGGGGAAACCGGCAGGCCGAACTTGAGTCCTGGAGATGGGAAGTACAGTGTCTACACTCTGAAGGAGGGGTGTTAATGTTGCACTTTTATAACTGTAGTGTAAAGCACCCCTCTGGCAAGACAGTAATGGAGTGAATGATGATGAAAGATTTTCTTTTTCAGGCCACCCTGCCTTGGTGGGAATCGCCCGATGTGTTAATAAATAAATAAACAAAGGTGTGCTGCTGACAGTAATGAAGAAAGGACAGTTTTGCACTTAAAGCTTGCTCAGTATTTGTGTTTTCTTCATCCATTAATACAGCAACAATAAAGTACTGGAAATTAATAAACCATACCTACATTATGACTAGAAAAAATATAGGGTCAACTTACCCATAAGCAGAATTTTTGAAGTGCTCAGATCTATAAATTGTAATTCAGACTGCACTGAAGAAAATAAGTATAAGGAAGCATTGCAGTAGGCCTACTAGCCATGCTGGGTACATTTTGCATTCACTCACACATTCCATCTAATTAACCACCTAACTGCCAATACAGTACTTTACTATATAAAAACAAAAACTTTGGAAAAGAGGAGCGATGCAGTAGGTCTGCTCTCCATGCCAGGTAGGTCTTGGGTAGGAGATAGTATAAATACTGATGTGTAAATACAGCACTTTTGTAACACTAGATATTTAAAGAGATGTTTTGCTCACATCTTTGACAATTCAATGTTTTGGAATGATAAAAATCCTCCAAATGATACATCTCCTTAATAAACATCCTAGTATGTACTGTACTACAAATGTGTCTTATCTACAATTCTACTGCCATCAAGGGCTTTTCAATACAAGAAAATAAAAATATAAGAACAGAGGAGAACTGTAAACTATCCAACCCTTTCTTAAAGATACCTATAATAATAATGTTTGTTTCTTTAAGCCATACAAAAAATGTAGTTTAAATATACTAGTATAACAGTAGGCAAAAGGGAAAGCCACTAATTATTCAATGCATTTCAGGCAACTAATCACAAGGCTTACATGCTACCTAAGGCCTAGACAGACTATTAAATAGGACTTTTTGTGTAATTAACTACAATGATAAGTACAATAAGAAAGGTAGCTAATGACAAAAGGTCAATTACAAAAAATACATATTACATATTTAAACTGATTCAATGATCTTCAGTTTGTGAAGTGACTGAACAGAGATGGTGAAGATACAGCAAGTTCTTAGATTACAATATAAACAAAATGCAAGAAGATATGCTACCAATTATGTGTGGAAGTTTAAGGAAGGCTGAAAGAAAAATAAACAGAATTGGATGAAAGCTGGTGTTGTTTGACAAAGCATATTGGTGTTTAGATTACAGTAAGGAAAATGAGCTTTTTAACAATAGCTCTGAATTGATTTGCAAACAGGGGACTTTTCAATGCTTCAGGCAGGTAGTTCCAGATCTTATGGCCTTTATGCACATTGAGTTTTTACACAGGTAAAGTCAGACAGTGAACACAGTACAGTGGAACCTTGACAATGAGCGTCCCAACATATGAGTTTTTTGAGTTACGAGCTGTCGCTCGGTTCGATTTTTTGCTCTGAGTTATGAGCCAAAATCTGAGTTACGAGCAAGTTTCAGAATTCCGCCACTAGTTGGTGCAGTGAATGCCACAACATCTGCTCAGCAGTGCATACGTTTACTTCACCATGGAAGCATTTCTCTATGTTTCGCTCTCCAGGAGCTTTATAAAGCTCCTGGAGAGCGAAACGTTGCCACAATAAAATGTCACATTAGTTGCACTTGTGTCCTTTTACTTTAGAAATGACCTGCTGGTCCATGGGCTGGAGGAGAGGAGTGGTGTTAGGAGGCAAGAACTTCACTTTTATAAAACTGAAGTCCTTAGACAAGAGGTCTAATAAGTTTGGAGGATGAGCAGGATCATTGTCCATTAACAGGAGGCACTTGAGTGGCAATTTCTTTTCCTGGAGGTATTTTTTCACACTGGGGCCAAACACTTCACTGACCCACTCTTTGAAAATTTATCTTGTGACCCATGCCTTATGATTAGCTTTCCACAAGACACATAACTTGTTCTTAAAGACATTGTTTTTCTTAAACACTCTGGGATTTTCTGAATGATACACAAGTAAAGGCTTCACTTTAAAATCACCCCTAGCATATGCACAGAACAAAAGAGTAAGCCTGTCTTCCATAGGCTTGTGTCCTGGCAGTGCCTTTTCCTCCTGTGTGATGAAGGTCTTTTTGGCATTTTCTTCCAAAACAAGCCTGTTTTCGTCACAATTAAACACTTGTTCAGGTTTCAATTCTTCACTGTCTATGTACCCCTTAAACTCCTGTACAAACTTCTCAGCCGCCCGTTTGTCTGAACTGGCTGCCTCACCATGTCTTACAACATTGTGTATGCCACTACGCTTAAATCTCTCAAACCAGCCTCTGCTGGCCTTAAATTCACTATCAGCACTGGTTCCAGGAGTTTTCCGTACCAGATCGGCATGCAACTTCCTTGCCTTTTAGCAAATAATTGTCTCTGAAACACTATCACCTGCAGTCTCTTTATCCTTGATCCACACCAGCAACAACTTCTCAACCTCTTCAACTATTTGTGGTCTTTTTTTGGTTAGCATATTAACACCTTTCGCAATATCAGCTTCCTTGATTTGTTCTTTCTTTGCCAGATAGAACCGATGGTCGACTTGTTTTTCCCATACATCCTGGCAAGCTCAACAAGTCTCACACCACTCTCATACTTCTGTATTATTTCCTTCTTCACATCTATGGTGTTTCTCACTTTCATTACCACAGGGGTACCACTAGCAAGTTTCTTTTGGCCCATGGCAGCTTATTTCACAGTCCCACAAGCACTAAACACAACGAAATAATTGTAAAATGTGTGAATGAGAGCACAGGTTAGTGTTTACTCAAGCATAAACAAAGCTAGACTGCTCACGGCGCCTGCGCGGGGACGCGGACAGAGCGGGCCAGAGGACAGGTCCCATACCTGGCGGTCCGAAATTTGAAACGCGTTCGATTTTTGGTACACAGTTTTGTCCGAAAAAATGGTCTTATTTTCGAAACGTTCGATATTTGGTACGTTCAATTTTCAAGGTTCCACTGTACCTCCCTGGGCGGTTGCTGTTTGCTAACCTACTACCTAGGAATTATAAATACATATAGTACTTAAATGAGTAATGAAATAGATAAATAAACATTTAAAATCACATTTACGTATCTTCATTGAAGACTCTTGTTGGTTTTCTGGAAGATAGGGAGGAGAAAGGGAGGACTTATTATTGCTTCAACCACTGCCTCAACCACTGCCTCAACTACTGCCTCAATCACTGCCTCAATCACTGCCTCAACCACTACCTCAACCACTGCCTCAACCACTGCCTCAACCACTGCCTCAACCACTGCCTCAACCACTGCCTCAATCACTACCTCAACCACTGCCTCAACCACTGCCTCAACCACTGCCTCAACCACTGCCTCCAAAAACTGCAGCGCACTGCCTTGTATTTTTGTACAATTTCTTTCTTCACCTCTATGGTGTTTCTCACTTTCTTTACCAAAGGGGTGCCACTAGGAAGTTTCTTTGGGCCCATGGTGGCTATTTCACAGTCACAAATCAATAAACAAGCACTAAACACAACGAATTTATGTGAAATGTTTGGATGAATGCGCAGGGTAATGTTCACTCAAAGATAAACAAAGCTAGACTGGCTCACGATGCCTGCATGGGCAGGCGTGCAGGGGACAGGTCTGGAATGCCGCCGAAACATGGAGCACAAGCCAAAGCTCGGGACAAAATTTAGCCGAAAAAACGGTCGAAACTCGAAGCAGCCAATACTCAGGGCAGCTGAAATTCGGGGTTCCACTGTATCATGTGGCTATGTTATTTATATTGTTTATTATGTCATATTAGATCAACTGTGATAAATAAATAAGACGCAGAGTTTGATATTAGCGTTACACTGAAGTATTTTTCTCCTGCCTCCCAAGAGCAGGAATTCTGCTGAAACGGATTAATGGCATTTCAATTAATTTCAACTAGGAAAATTTTTTGATATACAGTGGTCCCTCAATTACCGTCCTTAATCCGTTCCTGGAAGTGGGACTGTTATCGAAATAGACGATTATCGAAAAATTTTCCCCATAAGAAAAATAATGTAAATCCAATTAATTCGTTCCAGACACCCAGAAGTATCAACAACAATTTTTTTTTTACCTAAAAGATAGATTTACATGCACAAAAGAATGAACATTCAACATGACAGTTACCTTTATT